CGAGTGGTTGCTGATATCTCCTGTTTTGATTAGCATCCCTTCCAATAAGTTTTAAAACAAGAAACTAGAATTTCCTATTTGCATACTACCATAGCTATGTTTGGTGTTAGTTCTTTAGAAGCAGCTAGTAAGGTAAGAGCAGCTTGAATATGTACTTCAATATCACTATATGGTTCTACTTGTTAGTTGGGTAAGGTAAAAGAGGATCCAGGTGCCATATTATAAAGTTTGAAATTTGTATATAGTGGAAAAATTGTGGTCTTGTGGATAGAGAGTTTCTGTAAATATGTAGAATGTAATCTTATATTTATTATATATATGTTCCATCTCACTGGAAAAGAATTTTACTTTGTAAAGTGGATATCCTCTTGGCTAAGTAAGTCACTTTCCTGGTAGGATATCCTATATACAAAGGAAATTTTTACTTATCCCATTGACCAAGCTTTTTGGTGAAGTAATATAATAGTAAAAAAATCAAAATATATAGGAATAATAGTACTAGTATGTCTTGTAAGCTATTCTTATTACATTTCTATGAGCAGAAAGGTAATTCTAATACATTTTCAGACTTTTTATTGAATATGAATAAATACTTTATTTATTTTTTTATCAAATGAAAGATTTTTTTAAGAATTAAATACAGGAACAGAGAATTACTAAATAGAGAACTGAATAGAGGACAGGATAGAGTAAAGAATAATGGAATAGATAGAGAACAAGATGGAAGACTAGATAAAGGACAGGACAGAAAACTTTAAGTTCTTATAACTGAGGTTTACAAGAATAATTTTATCTGTCATGTATAGGATAGAAAATAACTGGATATATGTAGAAAGAAAAGAACAAACAGAGAGAAAGAAAAGTAATAGAAAAGAAAAAGAGCCTGAGGGGTAAGACAGACTCTATCTACCTTATACAAATCAACTAAAACATTTAAGGGCCTGTTCGGCGGGAACGGAACTGTTCCGTTCCCCCATTACAACAACTATTTTCTTCCATTGTGAAGATGCTAAGACAACCATTTCCCCAGTAAAAATCATTAACGAATGGAACGGTCACCACTTCTTCCATCATATCCGAACAGGCCCTAAGGATCATATGCCTTTAATGAGCATACAATAACTAGTTAATAGAGTAAAGAAATACCTTCAAGTTACCACTACCACCTGCATTCCAAACCAACCAAGAAAATCAAAAGAAAGATCTTAATAGGACAAAAATCAACAGGTATGATAGTATTCACATAAAATACCTTCTTAGAATAAGGTAAAGTACCTCTGCAAAAGTGTTGGTGAAATGGGCTTTTTATACTAAAAACGTTGATTTTTCGCCACTGGTATTTCAGGAACCACAAAAGATTTTACAACCTGACTTCTGGTATGTAGTTACAATAATCCCACCCCACTCCTACCTAACTCTTAATAACTTTGAGGAAGAATTGGAGAAGTTATGCAGCCTTAAAGTTTTGACTTCACTGAAAAGCTTCATTTTTCATACAAAAATGGCATTGCAACAGGTATTGTCAACTTTGGAGACTAGTAGCTTAGCCCCATCCAGTAAATTGACAAAATAAATAGTGTCAGGTAAAAGCTGCAGTGAAGGTGAAAATAATTATATAGGTTGTGAGGATTATTTGAAGCAATTCCAGGTATGGGAGTTGATCAAACCTGCCAATTTTTAGTGTAAAAAGGTCATTTCACCAATACTTTTGTGGAGGTACTTTATGAATTGTTGAATTATGGGTGGGTTGAGAAAGAAATAAGGAGACAAGAAGAGAATTAGTAGTACATAAAAATATATATATATATATATTCTACTTGGTAGGTAGGATGAGAAAAATTTAACTTGGTGAGTGAGCTATCCTACAGGGCAAGTTCCCTGCTTTGCCAAGGAGATATCCTCTTGGTAAACAGGATATTCCCTTGGTGAAGTAAAAGATTTTGCAAGTGGGATGGAATACATACATTATACTAAACTATCAAAATACAATGCTTAGAATTACAAGTATGGAACACATAGGATTACTGGTGAGATTGAGCCACAAAAGTGACGTTGAGCTGCAAAGTGATGTTGCGCTGTCGGGCACTCAGGATGAGTGCCCCCGAAAACTGAGTTAGCGAATTTCTGGGAGTTGCAGCGCCTAGTGCTGTAACCTTGGCACGAGTCGAGATGATGTTGAGAATGATATTAATTTGTGATCTTTAGGTAGTGAGTTGAAGGTAGCATTGCCATTTATGGGTGATCTGCGCCCTGGCATCTAGTTGTTTCGTGTCACCGTGTGTTTCCGCTTACCGTGGGGTAAGTTATTGATTCATATCTTAATATTGAAAGTCCTATCGTGCGGCCAAATGATCTTTTACTCCTCTAACTAACACATATTCCAACCTCGGAGATACCAGCTGGTTCGGGGATAGTTATTTGGACAAGATACGGGATTCTCCGGCTTCAGAGTCAAGGCTCCCTGAACAGGATTAGCGTATCATATTCTTGACACATTGTAAGATCAGGCCTCAATTTCTCGGGTCGCGTTAACCGGTATTCGCCATCTGTTAGTTTGTCAAACTTGCCATATCCTAGGCAGACGGAGAGGTGATAGCCGTAGTATGCATCCTATTATGCTTATCGTGCCCCTATCGTACCGATAACGCACTCTCCTATTCTGTTATCGATTTCGAAAGGATTGTCAGTGCCGGAACAACTACTCGGTTTTCCTCCTTCAAAACGATCTCCTGCCACCTACCGGTACCGGTCTTTCTTTCTCTTGCCCAAAAGCTTTATCTCCATGTTCGAGAACCAATCTCAATAACCCCTCAAGGAGAAAGGAAAAACCATATTGCGAAAGGTGGAAGGAAGGTCTAGCAAACTGCCTACTATGCCTTTTCGAAATGCGGTCACGAGTGCCGAGCTATTACCCTTACACTTCAATCCCGTCTTGTGCCCCGCCCTAGAATATCGAGTACGAGTACCGTCTATACTCGAGTGGGCTAGCATAATAAGGGGAACAAAAAAAGAGCGAGCCATCCGGAGCGCTCCCCGAACCCTCCCTCGTTTAGTGGAGAAATACGGCAGGCATTACACGGGAATCATGGGCCGGTGGGAAAAGATCTCAGCCGGTGAGCCTGCTCCGAACGAACAAATGGTTCCCAATCAGGAAATTGCGCGTGTGCACCTTGATATACTGTCGCGAATTTACCCTCATGTTCTTCAAGGCACGCGAGCACTTTCTTCCTACGAGTAGGGGCTATGAAAATTAAACTACCGCGGATCCCTCCGCCGGCCATGCAAAAAAAAAAGCCAGTATGAGTACTATCCCGAGTTGAGGGTTCCCAGCCGGCATAGTAGGGCTAGCCACCCCTCGTTTGGATTGACGGCGCCACGGTCTGGGCCACCTTTTACCCATAATGGTACTAATACCGCATTATCTGGCGATACTGGAAATCATGCTAAGATCTAGTGTTGCCATGTGGCCTAAGTGTGACATGAGGGGGGCTTAGCGAATATAAAAAAAGGGAAGCGAGTAACAATATCTGCTGGCGGAGTTAAATTACAAGACTCACTCTTCCATTGTTGAATTGAAAAAATAGGTTCCGCACTCGCCTGGTTGTACTTAAGTCATTGGGGTCGTCATGAGAATTATCTTAATTCCTACACTATCACTGAATGTGTGTAGTGCAACCATGATGGCAACTCGCCACTTTATCCCCTTCGGCGATAGCACCATTTCCAGTATCGCCAGATAATGCGGTACCACCTAACCCGAACTGATCCCCCGAGCCAGAAGGTCTTGTTCGCAGGCCCCACCAGAGGACCTCAGTGGTGCCCCCAAGCCTAGTATTCCACTCGCTCTCGAGCTAAAATTTCGTGAAATTCGGCATGCAGACCAAGGGATAGCGACGACAGTACCCGGTACTACGACCGAACCGGCTCCATGAATACCGTATCTGCGGAGTATGGTTGTCTACCCCTCCCTTCGCATAATATGACCATCTTCTAGAACTCAGAATTTGAGCTAGTCATGCAAGATCACTCGGATCAATGATCAAAGATTCTTTCAAAAACTGCTATCTGGCGCCAACTTCCTACTCACCACCTTCGGGTCAGGCACGGGAGTAACTGCTCCAGGGCATATGTGACCTCACTAAGCTTGAATATATATACTGGGTTCACGCCGCTGTTAAGCAGTTGATATCCTGGTGCGGCGGAAAGTACCTCCACTTTTCCCGTCCTATGCCCACACTTTGGAGCACTGGGGATAGTATAGGCTATGCCCTGCACTCTTCTCTTACTATTTCCTATAGTCATGTTTACATTTTCGCCCTCTCCAGACTTATCCTCCTGGGGCAATTTTCTCATTCCTCTAGCAGTTCACAATGTAGACCATCTTCTTGTACTACTTCTGTCTGGAACTTACATGACGATCGATTGATAGGGTTCAACTTCACGCGTTTATTGAATAAAAGAAACCCGAAACCCTATGATTCGATTTGAAGTATAAGAAACATTCGAACCAACTGCAGCTAGTTTACCTTTAACACCCCCTGGGCCGCACGAGCAAATGATTTAGTTGCCCTTTTCCTACTTTTATATAGTCTTTCGCCCTTCTGTCCCCCTGAACTAGTATCTTGTCTACTCCACAACTATTACAATAAGGGAGAAAGGTGCCCCGCCTGCCGCTTTAGGGGCCGGTTATCACGACCACCTCTGACTCTGACAGGTTGCTGTACATCGAGTACGCCCGTCCATTCTGGATCCCAACTCTTCCGACTCCAAGGATCATACGTGCGGGTTCACGGGCGGTAAATCATCAACTGGGCTCGGTGGGGTGATTTAGCATTATGGGTAGGAAATTGCTTCTTGGCCCTGAATTTAGCGCTGAGATACCACAAAAACTCGCCAAACTCGCTATGCAGGTATTGGCGCTAGGGATTGGATAGGAGCTTTTT